AGGGAACACGCGAACGCGTGGCCCGAGCACTCCAGCGGCTGCTTGTAGCGTGTTCAAGCGAGAGCGATAGCAACAACAGGCTCTATTCCCGTCATCTAGTGGCGATCAAAACAACCAGTAATTTGGGGATAAGGATAATGGAACTGGCGGCAAGATTGCAGCCCCACTCCCCTTCAAGGCGATTACGCCCGGCCTCTCACGCAATTGCCTTGAAGGGGAGGAGGTTGCTATCTTGCCGCTAGTTCTATATCATCTAAATGACTGGTTGTTTTGCTCGCCACTGGATTACGGGAATAGATGCTGTGGTTGCTATCACTCCCGCTTGAACGCGCTACTAGCAGCCGCCAGAGCGCTCGGGTCGCGTGTTCGCGTGTTCCTTTTCATAAAAATTGACATTGTACATCTGACGTAGTCCTGATATTTCGACAAGTTCAAAAAAAGAGGACTGAAATCGCATTTCAGCGTAGCTTAAATTTCCCTTCTGAACTGATCAGTGTTTATGATCACGCTGGTACCGGAAGAAACCTCATGATTTGCAAGGGTTTGCTGTCAGTCATCAAAACAACAGCGAATTAAATCATAGAGTTTGCATACTCCCAATAGAGCATGCGTGAAAACTCATTCTTGGGCGCATTGGTTATACGTGAATCAACACATACATATCAGCAAACGTTTCATTTCCTTCACAAGTCCATTGACGCAAAAGCTCAGTGTCACTAGTATATATATGCAAGTTACTAATGTATCATGCTTATAAGGTTATTGTATGTCACCAGGCTGTGTAAGGTCGTCGGCAAGCTTAACTCGAACAGTCCGCAGCATTTCGTTAAATGGTTTGATTGACACCAGCCCCGCGTTGCTATGCGTTTTATTGCCGAGATGCTACCAAAGCGCGCCAGCATATTATCCCAGCCAACCGATGTACGATTTCGGGATAGGTCAGGTCAATCAAAGCCAGGCTGCGGAGCGTGGCGTCAGCAAACAGTTAAGCTTGCTGACGACTGTACACGTTGTTTAGCTTGTTATTTGTTGCCCTGTCTTGATTCAGATACGAAGACGTGTTTCCGGAATGGTCTCTTTTGTTGTCCCTTTATTACCACAATTAACAATCTTAGTGGCACTTACATAGCTGTCCTCCGTAATGTGGGCCAAAATATAAAGATATCAGAGTGCCACGCGCCTGAACGAAACCAAGATAATGTTGCTTGATCGAACACGACGTATGCCAGGGGATATCCAAGTGGCAGGATACTTGTGCGCACTTCGTGTTTTCGCACTTTTCCTGTCTCCGTCGTAGCCGGGATTTGAAGTTTTCAACTAGATTTGAGCTGTCTGTCGCCATCTTATCAGCGGCTCTCGCCAATCGCAGCACTGCCAGCGTGCGACCGCCCTCCACTGCACTGCTCTGCAGACTGGGCGATCATCGACGATACGCGAGCAGATGTGTATAACACGCAAGCGCCACCATCAAAGCGGCAAACGGTTCGGGCTTATTCATGTTCTGCAATCGTTGGTGTGTAGATAAGACGTTCTGCTTATGATTGTGAAGTCATACTTTCGAAGCCCATCACTATCAACGTTGTGTTTATTTACTCCTTTTAACGAAGCGTTTCGTGTTACACGCCCTTCCTGTTAATTTATGAAGTTTGATAAAGTCTGTATACTGACACGGGACTTGCGAACAAGCTTTAAGAAAGGTCTGTTTACAAGGTACGGATGGCAAGTGCGTACCGATACTGCACGTCGTTATCATCAATGCTGCTCCGCTGTCGCTGCTGCTGCTTCGCAAGGCCCAATCCAAACTTGCGAAAAAGATTTCTGGCGAGGTATCACGCGGAGAGAACCGTGGGAGTGGCAGGAATGTACTAATGACTACAATGAAGTAACACAGAGCGACAAGGTAGAAATACGCAAATATATACCTATACTATATACCACACAAAATATTAAACAAAAGCTGACAGTTGCGCGGTGGCAAATATATATATACAGCTGCCTTTTCCCCCTCGTTAACAGGCGGTATTTAATCCCAATATCAATAAAATATATTTAAACAAAGTTTACGTAGAACTGTTACCTGTTAAATCTTTCTTTCTGTATCAAACTCATTCATAAGCACTAGTGCAATAACGTCCGGCAAGCGAGCACGGATGTGTAGCCTATATATAGTCTGTAAGGCGCTGGCCTTCTGGGCGTATATCTTCGAACACATAATCGCATGCATATATAGTATATAATTTCGTTTTCTTTTAAATGAATAAAAGAGAATATTGTTCTAGATTTCTCCTGTAAAACAGACAGCGATACCGTAGTGCGACTAATGTCATACGATACGCGGTTCTGCAGTCCTTATTGAATTTCTCTCTCTTTCTCTTTTTCCCAACGCGACGCACGGCTTTCATATCTGCTCAATAGCAGCTCATTCCAGTGCATCGTACACATTTAACAACTATAAAGCCTGAGATAAAGCCCTGTTGTAATTACGAGGACCGCGTTAATGACCACTGTATAATCGTCGTTCGTACAAAACCGCGGCTACAGGATATGCTGACCAGCTGACACAGAACAGTTATGCCCCCCTCATCAAATGGCTCGTAAAAAAAATGCCATTAGTGCTTACGTAGCTGCTCACTTCTGTTTCATCGATATGCTAGGTTCCCTGATCGAAGAGGAAAATGTACAGTGTACGCAAATTACTAATTACACAGGCTTATACCTTTTCTTTTTGCATTCGTGACCAGCCGCAATCAATGCTAGTGTGTCCCTTTATGTTTTCGTGATATCGACGTCCTTAGGTAACGCTTAGCAAATGGCTAGGGGGAAAAAATTCGAGGTGGATTTCAATCGCGCAACCTGAACTCAAGCGCTCGAAGTCATGATCGCGAAACGCAACACTATTCTGTAACCTGTAAACATGTAATACATGTAATTCTGTAAAGATGTAACCAAGCTGATTAAACTGGCCGCATATTACGCCTGTGTGATACCAATACTGGAATACGCCTATCCTGTGTGGGATCCGTTTCCCAAAGTACACATTCATGCACTAGAGCGCATTCAGTCGATAGCAGCAAAATTTGTTCCGTGAAAATATGACCGAACTAAGAGCTTTCAATGTCTGAAATGAGAACTTAATTGGCAATACTCACAAGATCGAAGACGTAATGTAAGATTGTAACTATTTCATTCAATCTATAACAAGAAACAGGCATTAATCCTTCAGATTATTTAAAACCAGCGCATTATCATTCCTCTCGTCATGACCACAAATTTAAAGTACGGCCATACAACCCCAGAACGGATCTTCTTAAGCATTTTTTTTTCGCAAGCCTTTGTCGAATGGAATATGTTACCAGCTGATGTAGTTGGCCGCAAGACTGCGGATTCATTCTATGAGGCACTGTGCCCCCCACAATAATGCCTAATATGGCGCTGCGGGTAATCTTCCAAATAAAAAAAAGAATAATGAGCTTCCCACGTTCGCAACCACTTTCTGTAGAGGCCCTCTTCTCATGACGTCACTTATAACACGCAGTTGCAGATTGAGTTAGAACAAAATGACAATTGCGATTACGTAAGTCCACCAAGCTTTCGCTTTCAAACCGAATACAGCGAGGGGTCACGCCACTTCATCAACTGCACTGGAGTCATGTGGCCGCAGTTATGACGCACGTGCACCGGCCTAACCGTACGTGTCCCGTCACCGTGTTGCGGTTAGATTGACATGATTGATTGATTGATTGATTGATTGATTGATTGATTGATTGATTGATTGATTGATTGATTGATTGGTTGATTTGTGGGGTTTAACGTCCCAAAACCACCATATGATTATGAGAGACGCCGTAGTGGAGGGCTCCGGAAATTTTGACCACCTGGGGTTCTTTAACGTGCACCCAAATCTGAGCACACGGGAGATTGACATGCCCCTTCCCCGTATAATCAGCTATATGTAGTATAGCGGAATACGTAGAGGCGGAGAAAAGGAAGAGGAGGACAAGGACACGTGCATCCTGCATGTGCCTCGGCGATTCTGACGTCACGGCTCACACTAGCGAGCCGCAGCCGCGCACTGACAATCCATCGAAAATACAACCAACTGTTCAAAAATACGGGAAATGAACTCCGTTTATCGGAACAGTGGCATCTTCCAATTCAAATTTCCAAGTTTCATAAGTTTTTTTTTTTTTTTTCAATTTTCGTTCAGTATCTCTTTCAGAGTCACCCAACTTTTTTGCTTTCATTTTTTAAACGTTTCAAACCATTTTAATATAATGAATTGCGCTTGCATTGTGGACATGCAAGAACACAGCATTATGAATAGAGGCGCTTTGTTTTTCCTTTTTGCAATTTCGTCGTTTTTAGGTTGTGGGCGAATTTACTTCAAACTAAGCTCACTCTTATATACTACAGAAAGGTAGAATCCTTTCGCTTCCTGATGCGTAGCAACATTTTTTATGAATATAGGTGTGTGTGTGTAACTGCTCTCTTTTAATTGCACCACAGTATCAAGCAAACTTATTTAAAAGCTACATTCGACGTCACTTCACCGACGTAGCTTCTAAACGTGCTCGTACAACATGGCGAATGCGACGACGCAACGCAGCATAATCAGTGCTGCTGTAAATCTATAGTGCTTAGATATGATAGATGAAATCGTAACATTATTGGCGTTTGTAACTGATTAACGATAAAACCTGCATATCATTCATTGTTATCACTCACGTGACGTTACAGTCCTAGCTTCATTAATGGCATGCTTTGGCCGCCAATAACAAACACATAAAGTAAAAGACAAGCACTTGTGAAGGTCAAGCCCTCAACGACAAGCACTTGTGTGTGTGTTCTTTGCGGCCAAAACATGTCATTAAACAAGTACCAACTAGGCCAACAATCAGTATTGTTACAATATATGTCTAGCCTAATTACTGTGTACCATAGTACTGCGACATGGTGCTTTACTGCGAGCCGAATACCGCACTAAAACAAGAAGCTACACGTGACAAGGTCGACACCAACAAAAATAGTAATTTATTTTCTTCTTTACAATGCCTGTTGAATTTTGCACCGTCCCAACGTTTGTGGGAACCTATAGCAAACTTGCAATGGTACATACGACTTAAAGCAGGGCAACTTAGCATCAAAAATGACTAGAAAGAGAAGGACTAGTTCGACGACTATACAGTTTGACTGTTTGTTTGTCGGATGAACTGATGTTCATTGCGCAACCGGATCTTCCTTGAAGAGGACAGTCATGATGAGGGAGCTGAACTGGTGGACCTCTTTTCCCGACAGCCGCGTGGCGTCTTGAAGGAGGCCGAGGAACTGCAGACAGCGCAAAAAGGAAGAAGATAGATAAGCGAGCAGGGTCTTATCGAAGTTAAAAGAGAAGTGCGACAAGTCTCAGACGCACAAACGAATGTGTAATCTTAACGGATCATTTTTTCTTTTTTAAACAGAGTATTATTGAGAACTATATTAGAAAGTAATTCCAGGGAAAGTAAGAGGATTTTATTATAAGTAATTGTAATTTAAATGTGAAGAAAGAAAAGTGGACGAAAAGATAACTTGCCACCGGCGAGATCTGAATCTGCGACCTTCGAATAATGCATCCGATACTACCATAGAGCTACGGCGGCAGTCATCCCTCCCTTCCCCCCCCCCTTCCCCCCCCTTTCCCGTCAACTTTACAGACACACAAAAACTAAGACCTGCGCCGACTAACAACTGCTAAGCTTGCTTAAGTTCACGGAAGCATCGGCGAGTTACGGCTGTGCTGACGATGCGGCTGTGCTAAAGTAATCTTTCTTTCCGTGTACTCCACCACAAACATAACAACATTAAACACTGTGATATACTATCAATTTTAAATGGAACGCGAACAGAGAGCGCGTGGCCCAATGAAATTAGCGACAGTATAGTGCATGCCATCCAGCCATCACCACTGAGATTTGCACGGCTCTGCATGTGCGATAACCTAACAGTGTAATATTTTCGACAGTGTTCCAGTTCTAATATCATCATAATGGTGGCTGGCATGGGCACGCCTTACTCTGCTAGGAATTTTATTGTCTTTTATATCCTCCATTCCCTTTTCTTTTCAAATATCGCAAGCAGAACACAAACGAAAACTGAGCACAATATATGTGGGGATCGAGCAAAGCGGCCGAACCGCAGGCGCGCGCCTTCAAATTGTGACGCCTGCATGGCATGAGCTGTGCCTTCATTAAAGCTTGGCCCACGCGCTCCACTGTCCGCGTTTCACTCGACGCCGACTCTGTACCGGTCGCCCGCGGTTGTATAAATGTTGAACGCGTCCCGTTTCACCTCTCTGTATCTCCGCGGAAACTTGATCTTGACAGCACAGGCGATGACAGAGGAGGCGATCAACATCCGGTCAACCTTGAAGGCACGGAACATCCTATGGGGCACAAAGAGAGAGACGGTGTTCTCATTTCTGTGAGGGCATCGTAATAGCACGTTCATCCGTACAGCTCCGTCCGCGTTTGTGTGGAGCGTGCCGCAGCTGGCCTTGCTTCAGGGGCCCTTGCTCTGCGGAGCGACAGCTTTGGGCAAATGTGGAGTCTGACGTGGTTAGTCCCGGTAGCATGCGCGGCCTGGTAGACATGGAGACGAGACATGCATCTGTGGCAATGTTGAAGCGTCTCAGGGGCGAGTCCAGTGCCTTGGATATCAAAGAATACACGTTTGGGATGGTAACACGCGCGCTACTCAATACGAACAACTGACGCACGCTTTGTGACTGTTCCGAGGTACCCAGTCAAAAAGTGGCCACCTCGGGTGATGTGTTAAGCTTAGGCAGACGCACGCTTTGTGACTGTTCCGAGGTACCCAGTCAAAAAGTGGCCACCTCGGGTGATGTGTTAAGCTTAGGCAGCGAAACAAAGGCGCCTGCCAACCCGATTTCTGGTTAAAAGCTGTGAGCTCTGCATGCACGTTAGGTCGCGCAAGCTTCCCGGCACATCACGTCACAACCCACAACCGCCGTAAGGTGTCGCTCCGCAAAGCAAAGTCAGCTATTCGCGCTCTCTACACAGATGTGGACACGGCTGTATACGTATACATAAATAAATCCACGAGTATGACCCGTGTGCTAAGGACTCGCGTTCACCTTAAAGAACCCCACGTGGCCGAAATTCCCACAGCCTTCCACTATATGGCGTCTCTTATGATCATATGGTGATTTTGGGACGTTAAACCTCACATATCAAGGAATCAATTCCTTCGCCATTGTGGGTAATCGATACACAATAAACGCTCAACTACATCTGTGATGGCACTATTCACTTCCGTGTTATACCGATTCCTATAAACAGGGATCAGCCACATTTATTTTTCTCCTTATTACTGTTTTCCGTGAAATATTGGACAGTTGGAAAGTTTAGTCAGGATCCTGACAGTTGGATTCTGACAGTGACAGTGGGAAAGTTTAGTCAGGATCCTGACTAAACTTTTCAACTGTCCAATATTTCGCGGAAAACAGTAATAAGAAGAAAAATAAATGGGGCTGACCCCTGTTTATAAGAATCGGTATAACACGAAAGTGAATAGTGCTATCAAGCCCACGTGGCTGACGGTGCTTTAGCGCTACGGGGTCACGTTACTTGTACGCACCCTTTTTTTTTCTTTTTTTGCTCTGCTTCTGTAACAGTATGAAAAGGTAAAACTTCAGCGCACAGTTATCATCGATTAGAACTGCGAGCATGACAATGATGCTACAAAAGCCCGGTGATAGTGTGGAACAAGTACGATTTTTTTTTCTTTTTCAAACTAGTGGTGTCCGCTGCCTTTTATTCCTCTGTAACATTGCCACACTATAGCAACGCCACACCTTCAGGACATAAATCAGCCCCGTAAAAACCGATTCCAAGATACATCGACCACCATACGCAGGACTTAACATAAATCATTAGGCACAGAAAAGTACCTGTTCTGCTCTTCCCCGTTGGCTCCGCGGTCCATTTTCAGGTGTGCCTTAGCACGCTTGTGGATCTCCAGGCGAACCAGGTAGAAGCCCTGCATCACGCGCAGTGTCACCGCATACAGCTCCTTCGGCTCGAATTTCGGCTCGTTGTGGCCTGCGCATCAGCAATCCCACGCGAATCGGTTGCCACAGGCCGCAAGCGTTGTCAGCCCCGCAACATACTCGTACAGTATACACACGCCAACTCTCGCACATCAGCTGACAGCTGGATTAGAAGTTAGAACACAGAGTTCTTTTTTTTTTCATGCAACGCGTCTCCGGCCAGCAATCCTGACCTATTATAAAGGCTTAGACTTTCAATGCCCCATGGAACGCGAAAATTAACCAGCTGTGTCAACAGCGGTGGTGAAAAACAAGATGATTCCGTGGTGACGTCATCACGACATGCACGGATAGGGAAAATTCGTTACATCATTCATGGCGTCGCTATAAGGTCTCACAGCGTGACGTAATCGCACGAAAACGTCGCTTGGTCGAAGGTAAGCCGATATAAACTAGGTGATCGCTTTGAAAGCCGGCAATGACTCCGATGCTTTATAGAAGGAATGCGAAACCAGATTAGGTGCAAGAAGCTTTCAGATGGGGCCGGGGGCAGACGATATCTGGGGTTTTACGTCCCAAAACCACAGCATGATTATGTGAGACGCTGTAGTAGAGGGCTTCAAAAATTTCGCCTCCATCGAAATGTGACCTCTGCAGTCGAACCCGCAACCTTCAGATTCGCAGCCGAGCACTGTAACCACGTCTGCATCACGGCGAACAAAAGAGGGGGGGGGGGGGGGGACCAATAGATCGACTTAGAAGAAACAATAACAAGATGGCTTTCGCCTTTGAGCATAAAGGGCCCTGGGCAGTTTCTTTACGCACTGAGCAGCGTCACACCCGCGAATGACAAAACAGCTAAGTTACAGGTAAAAACAACAATCACAAAAATGCACAGCTATTGAAACGTCGGAACGAAGGCTCACTATCAAAGTCAGTAAGAAGTACTTTCTCGGAACTCCTTGTACCAGCGTTAACGGGAATAAAGATGGGAGATACGCACAAATGCCATATACGGGGCACAAACTTCCGCTGACAATGTGAGAGGGTACGGGAGAGCGCGTGGAGAATAGGCGCCAAACCTGACGATTCGTGGCGGCCGCTGGCTACAGCTCTGCGCAAACTGTCGCCATTACATTGGCTTGCGTGCGTGTGTGTAAGGCATTGAATCAAGGAACAGAAAAATGTGATTTGCGGAAAATTCGGCAGATCCCACGTACCTGCGAATCAACATTAAGCGAAGCATGCGGAGGGAAGGTGACCGTGTTGCAATTTTTTTATTGAGCGACACGTCATGAAATGACGCTAAATATATGTACAAAGGTTGCACGCACGGACATATGTTGAAGAGTAGCAGATGTTAATATAACCAGCTGTTCGCACTTGCGCAACGATGCCGACTGGAACATGCGTATTAGCGACACCAGAGGCTGATATTAAGTGCTGATCCTCGCGAGGATGCTGCAGGCCCTGGGCACTGCTACATAAATCAACTTCAGCGCATAGCAACTAACCACAATTGCCGTTAAGCCGACGTGATGTCTCTATCAACGGAGTACATATGTAATGTTTATAAAATTGGGTGGCGAGCACTGCAACCACTATTGACATTTCACGAAGATGAGTGCCTATTTGAAAAGCAGTTCCGACATCTGGCGTAGCTCTGGGGTAAAATGCTTTATTGCCACGCAGAATGCTTGGGTTCGATTGCAGGTGGGGGTGGTGGTGGTGGTGATGGTGGTGCAGCTTAACGCTCGCCCGTTAAAATTGCCCATGTGTGAGTTCTCGTCGTTCTTGGGTATACATACCAAGTGTCTATCACCCGTGGCACATACCCGCATACCAGCGGCACATGCCCGCCCGTGGGTATGTGCCACTGTCAGCAGGAAGTGTTTGACGACTTACGCGACAGGATTGTGACATGACGATAGTTATAGCGCGAGAACAAAACGACGACACAGAGACAAGGAGGACACGAAAGACACGAGCGCTTGTGTCTTTCGTGTCCTTCTTGTCTCTGTGTCGTCGTTTTGTTCTCGCGCTATAACTATCGTCATGCCATACCAACTAGCCCAAGCTGCCACACTTCTAAGGATTGTGACATTACACATGTCTTGACCAGCACGTCATATTCATCAAACCAGATAGATAGATAGATAGATAGATAGATAGATAGATAGATAGATAGATAGATAGATAGATAGATAGATAGATAGATAGATAGATAGATAGATAGATAGATAGATAGATAGATAGATAGATAGATAGATAGATAGATAGATAGATAGATAGATAGATAGATAGATAGATAGATAGATAGATAGATAGATAGATAGATAGATAGATAGATAGATAGATAGATAGATAGATAGATAGATAGATAGATAGATAGATAGATAGATAGATAGATAGATAGATAGATAGATAGATAGATAGATAGATAGATAGATAGATAGATAGATAGATAGATAGATAGATAGATAGATAGATAGATAGATAGATAGATAGATAGATAGATAGATAGATAGATAGATAGAAACGCTCAAAGTCACCGAAGTTCGCTAAGAAATGCTTAGCATTTAAAATGGTATACGGGCCGGTGCTTCTCGCACACGATCGCTACACCATGTGATGCAATATATGGCTGCAATTCACGTTATATGTCTCGCGCATGGCAATGCAGTTGGCGGCAAAGTGTCAGCCTTCTCGCTTCATTTTTGACAGCGCCATTCGACTGTCGGTCGATAGGGCTTAAACCTGTTCACCACGTGCTCGCGTGTTCTCTTTCGTTTTACCCACGATATAGAATAATACACACCCCTGATTTCCACTAGGGTGCTGGATGGCGCTTCGAGCACTCCGGCGTGCGGCCGCCGGAAGTTCGAGCGCTCGTCCCGGAAGTCGGACAAATGGCCGCCGTTCCAGCATAGTACGTGCTACGTATGGGCTGGTTTCGCGCGCATTCCGCTAAAAATGCCTGCTTGTTGCGCCGTCAACTGCACCAGAAGACCAGAGAAGTCGTCTGGGAAGACGTTCCACTTGTGTAAGTATTACAATATTCTGTGCGACGTGCGTGATACGCAGCGAAACGCAAACGTCATATCAGTGTCGTTGTTAAGCTGTGGCTCTTGTTACGCAGGTTCCCACGCTCTAAGCCGGATTTATACCAGCGTTGTGTGGTAAACTTAAGAAGGGACAAATGGACTCCATCCCCAGGTAGCAGACTCTGCAGTGACCACTTTACTGACAACTGTTTTGACAGAACGGGCGCACGAACTCGGCTACAGCCTGACGCCGTGCCCACCTTGTTTTCTTTCCCGAAGCACCTGGAAAAGGTATAGTACGACATCTCGGCATTTTGGTATAGCGGCCCGGAAAAAAAAAGCATACTGTTCGGCCATCGCAGTTCGCTCGTTTAGCGTTCGTATAACTACCCCTACAGTTGATGCTACGTTTGTTAGACACTGAAATCGCCTGAATGGGCGCTACCTTCTTTCGTAGTTCATCTGCTGAGTCCCTTTAAAAATGACGCCCTACAAATTAGCTCGGAGCACAATAAAATCTACATGTAGCTGTGAGAAGCTGTGGTTGAGGAATTGTTTGGCAGACTTACTCTGAAAACCATGTACTGTAAGCAATGAAACGGAATTGGAAAAACATGTCCATTACGTTACAAAGCGCGAGGTCTTGAATTTTAAGTGCCCAATTTTTTCTTTCAATTTCTGAAATTCTCCTATCTGCGTTATATATCTCAGTGGTGCTATGATAGCTGTCTAAGATGCTAGTGGTATAATTCAGAAACTGCTAGACTGCTATAATATGCTTGACGCCAGCATATTTTTTTACTTAACGCATTTTGCACTCGCAGTAATAAATAAGCATAACTGTGAATAAAACACGGCTGTTTCAGAGGACTGCTGAGAGAAAGCCGCCTAAGCAGAAAACTGCCATTGTGGATGTGACCCCAGTGGAACAGCCAAACGACAACACTCCAACCACGGTGCAAGAGAACTCAGCCCATGCAAGTTGCCTTTTTTTGTACTACGCTGCCCGAGTGCAGCTACTTGGTCCGTCCTCGGTTGAATGTGTTAGTCAGGCCACTTTCTTGCAATCTCGTGGTAACCAACACGATAACTTTGTATACATTATGCACACCAGGATAGCATCCAATTTGAATCAAGTTAGTAGTCCTGGTATGTTCTGTAGTCATAGCAGAACATTGGTTTTATTCATGGCTGCAGCACCAGTTTTTCTAATCCAGGGAAAATATTGAAATTCCTGTCTGATGTGGCATTTCTCGAGTGCACCGGTAAATGAAGGGGACAAAGTTAATTTCTAAACTCCCCTGTGCACCTGGTTGCTTATTTTCTGCGTTAAACCACGTAAGCCTGCTTTACAAAGACTGTCATATGATGAGTGGTTTTTGTGAAAGGTGTCTTTTTCAACAGCTTTAACTTTCACTGTTTTGTTTTCAGGTCGCCGAGCACAGCTATGCAGTCCTTGACTCGCCAAAAACGCTGAAGAGGAAACTGGATGCTTGCACAGATTCAGCGGCTACAGTGAAAAGAAAGCTGAAGCTCAGCCTTGAACGAGAACGTCGGTTAAGAAGGAAGGTCAGCTCATTTAATGAAATAATTGATGACCTCAAGCACAAGCAGCTCATTTCAGAAGATGCCTCGGCAATGCTTGAAAAATGCTTCACGGGGATCCCCTTGGAAGTTACGAAATGGTTGCTCAAGCAAACATCCAGTGAAGGCAACAAGTCGTCTGTTAAGTTAAGCCGAGACAAATATTCTCCTGCACTGCGTGCATTTGCACTCACGCTACACTTTTACTCGACAAAGGCATATAACAATGATAGAGAAACATTTCAATGTTCCTTGCCACATCCATCGACTATAACTAAATGGTATAGCTCCATTAACGGAGAACCTGGATTCACAAGCGAAGCAATCAACGCCATCCGAGCAAAAGCCAATGAGGCTAAGAAGAACAACAAACAGCTTCTCTGCAACCTTGTTATTGATGAAATGGCCATTAGAAAGCACCTTG